CGGAAGTTCTCCGAAAACTCATTTGAGACAAACGCCAGTTGCATCCAAACACTCGAACGGTACAGTTGAGCGTTTTCACCAATCGATTGAGGGTCTCGTCCGGACCCAAAAGTTGGCTCTTCAGGGCCGCTACAACATGGCGCTCAAAAACACGAGCCTGCTCACGCCGTGGTTGATCAGAAACTGCGGATGGCTGTGCACCCGGTAGCAAAAACACAGCGACTGAAAAACACCGTTCGAGAGAACGAAAGGTCATCCATATCAACCGTTTATTGTTGAATTTGGTGAGTGTGTCAGCGCACGGTACAATTGCCCCATCGTCAATAAGATGGAGCCGCACTGGGTGACTGGAGTCTGGATGGGAAATGCTGTAGGTAATGACGAACATATCATAGCTACCCCCAAAGGCTTGATACAATCCCGCAACATACGCAGACTGGAGGAAACTTCCCGGCTCAACAAGACAATTGTGAATCAGATTTACGGCGTCCCTTGGGATCTCAATTACAAGCCGGGCTCTGAAGGCAACCCGGTACAGCAGCATGCATCTCCCCAGCCAGACGCGCCTGAACAGCAGCAGCGCGAAGCCAATAGGAAACTTAGATTATTTTGGCAAGGGTGCGGCAAGACGCCCAAGTGCAAAGCGTGCCACGAGGGAACACATGGCAATGCCCATTCTGCTGAGTGCAAGCGTAGACGGCAGGAGTGGGAGTTGAAATGCGCAGAGAAACGAAAACGAGAACAGGATGATACAGCAGAGCAAGCAGCAACTGACAAGAGCCGCAAGAAAACTCACGAAGCCAAGCATCGTGACGATGCCTCCGGCGATCGAATGCAAGAAGACGGGTCATCTGCAGATGACCGGCAACCAGCTAGGAAACGCAAGGCAGAAGAGGAACACCCAGAATCCCCAGGATCAAGAATCATGGCGATCATCCGGCCGATTCTGAACATCGGCGAAGACCAAAATCTTTGCGAGGAGCCGGAACCGCACTCAACGGACCTCTGCCTGACCAACGAAGACCCTTTTGAAACACTGGTGCGAAGGCGTCGAGTTCATCGACGGGCTCCCGAAAGATTTGGTCGAACAAGGCATGTCCAAAGAAATGCGCAATCTGGACCACTTCAACGTGTACTCTTGGGTGCGGGAAGATAAAGCCTTGAGTAAACCGATCGAAACAGGTTGGGTGCACAAGGCTAAAGGAGATGAGGTGCGATCGAGGCTTGTTGCAAAAAATCTGAAAATCGCAAGTATCAGAGACGACGTCTTCGCCGCAACGCCAACACCAATTGGACTTCGCATTTTGTTAGCAATTGCAATGGCAGGGAAACTTGACGTATGCATCGGGGACTTCAGTGTTGCATGTATGCACGCAGACATATCAGATGAGAACGTTTTCTGCCGCCCGCCAGAACCTTGGCGTTCTCGGTACCCCGGATGGGTCTGGAAGATGAACAAGGCCATGAATGGCTTGAGAACAGCACCGCAAAACTTCCAAGACTTTATATCTACTGTGTTGACAGACCATCTTGGTTTTGATCGCTGTTTGACAGACCCACAGATGTTTTGGAATAGAAAAACAGGTGTGCGAGTGCCAATGCACGTCGATGATCCCATTGCAGTAGGAGACAAAATTGAGATAGACGGGTTTTCCGGACAGCTCGAAAAACATGTGTTGTTCAAGCGTGGTGATCGTTTTAACGATGAGGTTCCCACGAAGTACCTCGGAAGGATGTACGTGAAACGTGACGGTGGCATCAATGTTTTCCTGACAGAAAAATACATCGATTACACATTGAACATCTATAACATGTTGCACTGTACCCCTGTGAACACACCCGGTGTGAAAGACACCCCTCACGTCAAGGGCTCTGTCGGAGAGGAATTTGTGATTTTGGATAAGGTCGAACATCATAAATACAGGTGTGCAGTAGGCAAGCTACAGTTCATTTGTCAGGAACGAGGAGACATCCAATTTTCAGTGAAAGAATTGGCGAGGCAACTTGCATCGCCTACGAAGAGATATGTCCGCAAGCTGAAGCATTTGTTGCGGTATTTGAAAGGCACCAGAAACGAACATGTGCATCTTAGGTGCGATTCGCTCTCCGATTGTGTGACAGTTTTTGTAGACTCGGATTGGGCTGGGTGCCAGCGAACGAGGACAAGCACATCTGCTGGAGTTGTCATGTGGGGTTCGTGCGTTCTATGCAATTACAGCCGCACGCAGAGCGTGATAGCGCAGTCCAGCGGCGAAGCCGAGCTATATGCTATAGCCTCCGGCGCCGCAGAGGCATCGCATGCACAATCGTTGATCAGAGAGCTCGGGTATGAAACTTCGGCCACTGTGAAATCAGACAGCAGCGCAGGCAGGGCCATAGCATCGAAACTCGGCGTAGGAAGGTTGAAGCATGTCGATATTAAGTTTTTACATGTGCAGCAGCTCGTGCAAGCCAATCGCATAAATATCTCAAGGGTAACAACAGCAGATAACATTTCGGACGTTGGAACAAAGTACCTTGTCAGAGCGAGGCTTTCCACGCTAAAGCGACGGTTGGGCATCTATGCATAATGCTCCTCCGTAGACGTGCTGGCTCAAGCATTCACCTATTTTGTGTTTCTGAGACAGTATGTTGTCACCAAGTGTGAAATGGTGCTTTAAGAAATGCCCTGATTGCACGGAGTACTATGCGAAAGTACCGGCTGACAGCGCAACCAGCAAGGGAAAAGTCGAAGGTACTCTTTCCTACCGCATGGTGCAGCACCTGAGCACCGCGCACGGTCTACACGGTTACGGTGCAGAGAAATCAACAAAGATTGATAATTCTTGCCCGGTGCGTTACTGTGGTAGTGGACCAGAGTATCTTGAGTACAATCAGACAGAGGCTTGGCGAGAGCGTTCACCAACGCCCCAAAGGCCTCCGACGCCACCTCCGGCGAGCAGCCGTGTGGCAGACAGCAGAAGCAGGCCAGACTCAGCAACCGGCGATGTCCGTGACCGCACCCGGTCGCGCTCCAGGCGCCGATCTCCAAGCAAGGTCATTGAGTCGAGGCAAATGTCTCCCAGCGATCTCAGGAGCGAGGACACAGTGGTGAACGACATCTTGATCGACGTCGGTTACCTTCAGAACGTGTCCTCAACCGCGCGTGTGTTGAAAGCTGTAGCATCGAGGATCAAACAATTATCTCGACCGTAATCTGTGGCATCATATAACGACACGGTGAGGTACATGATTCAACGTACTGTTTTTGATACCAACTCTGCCTCCAAAGGTATCTGATGAGAGTCAGATCTGAGGGGGGCTGTGAGAATCCCTTGTGAGAGTCCCTTGTTCGCACCGCAGCCGGTTTGAGCCTCGAGCCCAGGAAAACATACTCCATATCGAAATCATCCGCTTATCCCTTCAGGAGGAGGAGGAGGAGGAGGAGGAGCAGGGCAAACCCAAGACCCATCAACGATATTTCAATACACCCTCCCTCCAAACTCTCTCTTTTCAGGCCCCCTACACGAATTCACTTTCACTGAGGGAAATGACCCAGTGGCAAACAACCGCTTGAAAACCCGTAATTCTGTCAAAACGCCATTCTCGGGACTTCAACGCCGCGAACCACCGTCGAAAACAACATGGTGAAAACGGGCCGACCTTCATCCGAGAAAGTCCCGCAAACTGTTCAGACAAACGCGCGCGGGTGCAACAGTGATGATTTTAGAAGGAGGAATGGATGAGGAGGAGGAGGGGAAGGAGGAGCAGGGCACGAAGCCCAAGTTGGATGTGATGAAGGTTCGAAGCCAAATCTGGATCTGGTGTGGACACAAAGCCCCAGGGGAATGGTAGGAGCAGGAGCAGGAGTCGGATTGGGAGTTGGAGGATGAGGCAGAGTAGGAGGAGGAGGAGAAGAAGGAGGAGGGGGAGGAGGGGGAGGTTTAGGGCGAGGAGGAGGGGGCCCAGTGTAAACCCAAGAGCCGTCAACGATGTTAGAATAAACCATCCCTCCAAACTCCCTCTTCATAGGCTCCTATAATGGGCTCATCTCCACTGAGGAGACTGCCTCGTCGCAAGACAACCGTTTTCAACCGTCTTCAAGATTCTGAAGCATGTCAAAGCATTGTTCTCGGGATTCCAACGCCACGGGTCAACCTGACTGTTGCGTTTTCACGAGCCAGGATCGGGCCAGAAAGCCATTCCTGGGACTTTAACACCGCGAATCAACGTATCTGTTGCTCCCGCGTAGTCTTGATTTCTTCCAAAGCGCCACCGCTGGTAAGTTGTTCATGGGATACCCGTGGAACTCATATACATGTATAAAAGAATGTGCGCGGCGCTACTGCGAGAGCCACATGTTGAAACCTACCCCCCCTCAACACGTGTAGTTTTTGCACATGTTTCCCAACGAATGTGCGCAACGTTGAGACGATAACTACATGTTGAAAAAGAGCCACCCTCAATCTGTGAAGCTCATGCACATGTGTATAACGAATGTGCGCGGCGCTGAGACGAGAACCACATTTTGAAAACCAGCCGCCCTGAATCCGAGAAGGTCTTGCAAACTTGTGAAACGAATGTGCGCGGCGCTAAAGCGAGAACCACATTTTGAACGACAGCCGCCCTCAATCCGTGAAACGCTTGCGAATGTTTTTCGAATGTGCCCTGCGCGATGGCGAGAGCTACATTTTGAAAACCACCCGCCCCCCAGCTGTGAAACTGCTGCCAGCGTTTATGCCTAAACTTCAGGTTCTTAAATGGTGAGAAAGTCTCAGGCCGAACGCCCGGCCCGCCCCAAAAACTGGCCTCGGGGTGCGAGATGGAGAAACTATGTATGAAGAAAAGAATGGAGGAGGAGGAGGAGGAGGAAGAAGAGGAGGAGGAGGAAGAGGAGGAGGAGGAGGAGGAGGAGGAGAGGGAGGAGGAGGAGGAATATCGCCCACCTCTCCCTCCTCTCCCCCCCCAAAGGGGGAAGGAGGCCCGTGTCCCCCGCAGCCCCGGGGCCCGCGGGGGTCGGCCTCCAGCGCCCTGACCTGGCGCCGCGCCACCTCCTCGGCGGCGGCGTCCCCGGCGATCTGGGGGGGCGCGGGGGGGCGGCCCACCCTCCCCACCTGGGGCTTGGGCCCCGTTGCTGAGCCCAGAGGGCGATGCCTTGCCCCCTCTTCCCCCCTCCTCCTCCACCTCCTCCTCCTCCTCCTCCTCCTCCTCCTCCTCCTCCTCCTCCTCCCCCTTCCTTTTTGTGCAAGGGCTATGGCACACGTGCCACTTGTTTCGGCGGCGCTCTGAGGGGTGTTCGCCCATGTCCGCATCGGCCTGGCCCTTTTGAGACAGGCGTGCCAAGAACCCGAGGCGCGGCGGGTATGGACAGAACTCTGGCCTCTCTAGAGGCCTTTTTTTTTGTCCATATCCATTGTGCCTCGGGCTTCTAGGAGCGGGACTTCGAGAATCTGAGCCGCACTGGATATGGACATAAATCATCCCCGCGTGAAGTGAAAGGGGACCCTCTCAGAGGTCGGTGGGGCTTCTCAGAAGCCCTCAGCCAAGCCGTCTGCGGCTTACGAGTCAGGCCTAGAAGGCTTATCAGAGGGCCGGGGGCCTTCTGATCCTTTTGTGAAGGCCGGCCCCCTCTGCCTTCCCCTCTCGTCGCGCCGCGGACTGGTTGCTTCAGTTGTGTTGCTATTCGATTTTGAACACAAGCCATGCGGAGGCGTTTCGTCGTTTTCGACTTCTGGCGGCCCTCACCAAGCCCAAGACCTCTGGGGGGCCTCACCAACCCTTACCGGGGTGACAGGCCGGCCCTGGGGAAAGGGCCGAGACTTCCGGGGATACCGATGTGAAGCATTCAGGCCGTCGGACATTTGATTTGTTCCGGACACTCTCCGAAACCATCTTGAGGAGGATGGCTTCTTTTTCCTGCTCCTCTTCGCCCTTCTAGTCGTTCCGTCCTCATCGTTGTCAGCCTCCCCCTCCTCCCCCTCCTAGCTCGTCCTACCTCCCTCTTCCCAGTCCTTGACCCCGTCCTCATCGTCCGCCTCCTCCCCCTCCTAGCTCGTCCGACATCTCTCGTCCCCCGACCTCGTCCTCCACCTCCTCCTCCTCCTCCTCCTCCTCCTCCTCCTCCTCCTCCTCCTCCTCTTGCTCATCTCCTCCTCTTTCAACTATCCTGTCCTCGCCCTCCTGCCCGTCCTG